GTACTTCAAGGGAGCCTATAGGAAAGATGGGGACAATCTTTTTAGTAGAGATAGCAGTGACAGGACGAGGGGTAATGGTTTTAAACTACAACGTGGTAGGTTTAGGCTGGATATAAGGAAGAAATTCTTTACAATGAGGGTGGTGAAACACTGGAACGGGTTGCCCAGAGAGGTAGTGGAGGCCCCATCCCTGGAAACATTCAAGACCAGGTTGGACAGGGCTCTGAGCAACCTGATCTAGTTAGCGGTGTCCCTGCTCGCTGCGGGGGGGTTGGACTAGATGACCTCTAGGGGTCCCTTCCGACCCAAAACTTTCTATGATTCTATACAGCAGCGATAGCAGGCCTTTAGCCTTGCTTCCAAATACCCTGTGTATTGGTAGGGGGTTTCTTCAACGATACCATAACCTTGTTCTTTCAAAAGCAAAGCTGTCTTCAGAGAGGGCTAGCACCATGTATCACATCCATCTTGATGGGCATGACAAATGCAGGTATTCTCAGTTTTTGTTTAGTCAAGAGTATTCTCAGTATTAAGTTACAATCGGAAATCCTAAACACAATGAATTTATCCATAGAATGCCGTACCACTAAATGCCAAACAATGAAAAGAACAGAAATCCCTACTGCAGTACATAATTATCTCTCGCAAACTGTGACCAGCAGGACAAGCGAGGTGATTCTGCCCCTCTACTCCGCTCTGGTCAGACCCCACCTGGAGTCCTGCATCCAAATCTGGAGCCCTCAGCACAGAAAAGACATGAACCTGTTAGAGCAGGTCCAGAGGAGGGCCACAAAAACGATGCGAGGGCTGGAGCACCTCTCCTGTGAGCAAAGGCTGAGGGAGTTGGGGCTGTTCAGCCTGGAGAAGAGCAGGCTCCAGGGAGACACTATTGCAGCCTTCCAGTACCTCAGGGGGCCTACAAGAGAGCTGGAGAGGGACTTTTTACAAGGGCATGTAGTGACAGGACAAGGGCCAACGGCTTTGAACTAAAAGAGGGTAGATTTTGGTCAGATATAAGAACGAAACTCTTTACTACAGAGGTGGTGAGGCACTGGCACCGGTTGCCCAGAGAAGCTGTGGATGCCCCCTCCCTGAAAGCGTTCAGTGCCAGGTTAAATGGGTCTTTGAGCAACCTGGTCTGGTGGAAGGTGTCCCGGCCCATGGCAGGGGTGTGGGAACTAGATGATCTTTAAGGTCCCTTCCAACCCAAACCATTCTACCATTCTACGATAACTAGCATGAATTCAGGATCCAAGAACTAAGGCAAAAGGTTATTGCTGAGTAATTCTATTCAGGAGCTCAATAATTGTAACACAAACCAACCAGAAATAATGTCTCACATCAGTCCGATAGCAACTGCTTAACATAGGAAGACTTCTGGTTACTTAAAGTCCTTATGCAAGTTACTATATTTTGTCTAAAGAATATATTGCTTCCTCTCTATTGCTCTGAGTTTACTCAGCAGTTTATAGTACCCACCACATGGAGGATTTTATTGCTCTTGTGTTAAAAACTTACTTCTCCTTATTGCTGAAATCTTCCTGTCAGGAGAAATTGTTGAAAAAAACCTCAAAACCAATTCAAAAAATCCTCTCCCAAACTTTGAGGATGAATACATGAAAAAGCTGACTACAGTAAATTTTGCCCATCAAGATGCAACCTGTTATTAACTTTGGGTCAAGCGTGTTAATAAATAAAAATGAACTTCAATTCTTTAAACTAAATTATGCATTACAAAAAAAAAGTGTTTTGTCACTATGATGGAGATACGAAAGATACCTCACTGTACATAGCCTTGTGAATCTAACACTCCCGGTCTTACACAGCGGTGTGGTTTGATGGGACAATGAAATGACAGCATCCTGCAAGCTGGCTGGATTTCTGCCAGTTTCAGGGGATCTTCGATGGATACTGGCACCTCACCATAATGAAGCAGGGACTACACTGTAACTCTGAGGTGACAGCAGAGAATTGCTTAATTCTGCAGGGTCTGAAAAGTGACTGTCTGTCAAGCATTTTTTCTGTGCAAGTGAAGTAGGCAGCTTTGCATCCACAGCTCTGCTCCCACCCCCATGAGTTCACTCACAGGTGTGTTACACTGCATCTGTCCAGTACCGCAAACTGTGTTAAAGTTTGGGCTGACAGCTGTGGGAAAACCTACGGTCATTGACTTCCAGAAGGATTTTCTGGCCTATGCTGCACAGTCTCAATTTAAGAACCGATTTCTGGAAGAGACAGCATCCTCACTGGAGGTCACAGCAGTAGCTTGGGAGGCATAATAATGTTTCTTATCTGTTTGTGAGGAAAGGCAACCACGCGCTACTCGTCAAAGAAGGGCAAGTCACATCCGTATGAGCTAGCTTTGTGGGACTTCTATAATTAATCCTTTTTTCCTCCGTTTGACTCGCACTGCTCCTCAGGAGAGGAGCTTCCAATTACAAATCTCTCTGCTCTGGCACAACGAAAAGGTTGGCTCCCCTGGCACCCCAGAGAGCCTCTGCGGATTTGAGCAGCCTGTGGGGCGAGGAAGATGACGAGGACACTAGGTGAACCAGCATGAGAAGAGAGGACAACATTGTCTTCCTCTGTGCTGTTTTTTCTGGCTTTGCTACCACCCAGGTGTAGTGGAGAGAAAAACACTAGTGCCTGTGAGGTTATCCAAGAGGATGAGAACAGGCCTGCATAAGCACAAAAACAGTTGCCTTCAGGACTGAATACTGGTCACAGTTGTAGCTGCTCATCTTCATCACACTTTTTAGCAATTTGATACAGAAGAACAAATGGGTGAAAAATGGGGGGTGACTTTGCATGACTTAACTTTTTTTTTGGCTTTTAAAAGTGCCATTCTACATTATTCAGTCTCTACGCATTACTTACCCCATGACTTTTACTGCCATTTATTCCCAACACTTTGCATACTTGCAAAACTGCACGCATACATAGCATGGATATTTATGAAGTGATTATTTCTTATACAAAAATTCATAACAAAATGCATAAACAAAATGGGTTTCATTAGCATTCTGAAGTAGATAAAGAACACCAATATCCTACACTGAGCAAGGCCCATATTCTAACTGTGCATCTGTAAATCGCAGTGAAGCCAAGGGAGCTGCAAGTTCACAGCTCTACTGGACCATGCCATGCAATTAGTGAACTCATCAGATCACAAAGAGCCAAATATCATGAAGATTGAACCAAGTAAATAACGGAATTTGAACCCAGCATTGCAACTAAAATTAATTATTGCTCATAAAAATCTCTACAGAGCCTTGTTTACAGCTAACTCATTCACATTCGAGACTCAGCTTTGTGTATAGCATATGATTCGTAATGCCACAGAAACTTTGCCACAAAAAGCTACAGTCATCCGAACGTCCATGTGAAAAGGACAGATTCCATTTGGAAAAATCCAGACCAGCAACACAGTTGTCTCTACTATCTATACTATACAGGTATATTTTCTTCACTGTAAATATTGCTATTTTTACACTTGAGTTTGTTGGGTTTTTTTAAACTGTAGTGGAAGATACTGAAGCAACAATACAGTATGCCGACTCTGACATTCCAGGGAATATAACCTCCTGCTGATGCCAGGGCATTAACACATGGAGCTCCCATCAACACTAATGGAAGTGCTACTATTAACTCCCGTGCACTGACACTAGGGTACCCCTTAAGCTTCACAAAGACGTCTGCCAGGAAGATTTTCTCTCTGACAATCAAGTCATCAAATTAGATGTTTTATTTCTAGCGCATTCTAATGTGACTTCAGAAAAAGGTTAGAAGCAGTTTGAAATTTAACCATTCATGAGAGGAAGCTCTGCTTTTTAGACCAGAACTATCACCCTATAACGAAGCAAACTGATATGCGTACAGTGCAAAGAATCACAATCTGCAGTGGATGAAACTGCCAGAAAAGGAGAAAAACATTGTTTCACGTTGCAGTTCTGGCTGCATACAATTATGAACCAGATATGCTCTGAGCATTTATAAACTTCAGTATTTTAAATCATATAGCAGAACAATGAAAACAAATGGTAATAGTTCTGGCTTGATAACAAACTTAAGGGGAACCATTCCATGTAGATGCTATGTTGCAAGCAATTTGTAGGCTATTTTATTATATATTTTCTTATACACTTCTGAAAAGATAAACTTGTCTGAGAAACTTCATGTTGCATCTATTACAAATGCATAGCTGTAAGAGGCCATATTGTTTCATCAATTTCAAAGATCCTCCCCCCAAATTCCTTTTAAAATTAGTAGTATAATGAGCTCTGATGTCCCGTATCTAAGTGAAAACATATGGCTGACTTTTCAAAAGGAAGGCAAAGCACATCATCTGTTTTAACATCCAGCCAGAACCCGGGAGAGAACAGGTAACCCTTTAAAACAATTATCAAGCTAATTCATGCTGAGATGTAAAATAAAAAGCTATACAAGTACTTCCTCACTTCGCGCAAATTTGTTGCACTGAGATTATTACAATAAATACCATATAAATCAGTACAATTGGCCATTATTTTGAAGAATGTTCAGATACAAATGAGGTAACAGAACTTGGGTTTTCTTCTTTTTCTGCTTTAAAAAGCATTAAAGAGGGCAAAAAAATATATCCTGACAACAGACTGTAACATGCAGTATGACTAAATCACATAAACAATTTCAAAGGAGGTATGCTGCTTCAATCTAATTTTAATTAGCAAACTTAATGTAAAATCATGGCAAACATGGCAAAGTCTGGGTAATGTAACAAAAAGACCCTGAGCAACATTATAAATCTGTAAGAACACTGATAATTTTGATTCTGGAAATCTCCCTTAAGCCACTCGATTCATTTTGGTCACTGGGGTTTTCTGTTTACAGAGAGGTCAGTGCATCCTGTGGTTTTTATATGAACCCATCACACACCATCTAATGAATGCATCTAAACCAAGGACAGCATCACAAGAATGTCTGGATAGTAACATGTTAAGGAGTGTCCTCCTAGCCGCCAGTCAGACATCACTGGGTGATCTTGCTCTCTGCGACAGGTTAGAAGGAATACAGCCACAACAGATGAGCCAAAGTGCTTTCTGTATCTCCTGGTTTCTAAAAGCATATATTACAGGATTGATGATGGAATTGTAGGTAGCTGGCAGGAGGGTGGCATAGGTGTATATAGAAGGATAGGTGTAATCTGCTATTAAAGAATAGAGTGTAAAAGGCATCCAGCAAGCAGCAAAAGTCCCCAAAATAATGGCCAAAGTAGACACTCCTTTTCGGGTGGTCACATAGTGGGAAGTGGCCAGGAAATGGTGTTGCAAGGCAATCTGATGGGCATGGCGCATCACGATTTTACAGATTTGAATGTAGAGCTGCAGCATGAGGGCAAACATAAGCAAGAAAGAGACCGAAAGGACAGCTGCATTATTTTTAGTGAGCGGTCTGATAACACTGCAGGTGGATTCATCTCTGAGGCAGTTCCAGCCCATTACAGGCAGCAGTCCAATACAGATAGATGCTCCCCAGAGCAATATAAGCATGACATAGGTAAAAGTGACAGTCCTCTCTGAATTGTAAGTCAAAGCGTAATACAGGGAGAGGTAACGATCAACAGTAATAGCCAGCAAGCTGCCAACAGATGCTGAGAAAGAGGCAACAATCAGTCCAATCGTAACCAGTTTCGTAGCTTCTGATTGCAGAAGGTATGCAAAAACGAAATTGATGATCAATCCAATGCCTGCTAAGAGATCTGCCAGCGCCAGGCTGCCTATCAGGAGGAACATGGGGGCGCGAAGACTGGGATTATGGAAAATGATAAGAACCACAATGGCATTTTCACAGGAGATGAGGGTTCCTGAAGTACACAAGACAATGTCCCAGGGGTTTACCAAAAGCTCTGGCTCTGGGTCTACGACAGGAACCAGGGAGGAGCCTGTGGCTGAGGCATTCTCGGTAGAGCTGGCTTCTACATGATCCTGAGGCAGCCAGCTCAAATTAACCTTCAGATCTTCATTCATTTTAACCCCTGTCTTCTTCAACGGAAAGACATTTTTTTTAATGTTCAGACACAGCACTGGACACAGCACCCCCAGAGCATGCAACGCCCTAAACGGCAACACCAGTCTGATGTGCAGGCAGGCACTTGTTACATAAATATGACAATTAAAAAAAAAAAACAAAAAACAAACCAACAACAAAAAAAAAACCAAACAGAAGGGAAAAAATACGTAGAACTGCCCGAGATTACCTGCCAAGGGACCGACACAGGGAGGCAGCGCGATCCTAACGGTAATGCCCTTCACCTGCATAGGGAGGGAGGCACAGGCACGGCAGGGACCC